AAACCCAGGTGGCATCTGTGGTCCGGGCAGCCCATTTCCATCTTCAGAGGATTGCCCAGCTGCATTCCTATCTAGATGTGGGGGCACTCACAAAGCTGATTCATGCCCTCATAATCTCAAGAATAGACTACTGCTGTGCTCTATGTGGGGCTAACCTTGAGGCTGATGCAGAGACTTCAACTGGTCCAAAATTTGGCGTAATAACTGGGGTGAAGAAATTTCAGCACATCTCCCCCACTCTGGCCACCCTTCATTGGCTACCGGTTCATTTCTGCATCAACTTCAAGATTATGATAACATTCAAAGCCTTAAACAATTTAGGACCTCAGCACCTATCATAACACCTGCTCCCAGGCAGATCTGTCCACAATACCCGTTCACAGGCAGGACAGTTGAGGGTCTTGACTCCAAAGGAGGCCCAGAGGGAAAGAACAAGAAACTGGGCCGTCTCAGCTGTTGCCCCCATCTATGGAACAACCTACCCATTGAGATCCGCCTGACACCCTTGCTGGATGGGTTTAAATGAATACTGTACTGAAGACTTTGCTCTTCCATCAGGCTTTCATGGAACATTAAGATCTTGGCCTCCCTTTTACCATCCTTTTTGTCATCCTCTCCATCACCCTTTTTCCACCTTTATTGCTGTCTGTTTTATTTAACCTTATTTGACTTATATTAATTTATTTTTTTTATCGTGTTTTAATATTGTTGTTTATACTGTTGTTAGCTGCCCAGAATGGCCTGGTTGCCAGATGGTGTGGGGTACAAATTCAGTAAATAAATAAATAAAATAACTTTGAGCTGCCTACCTGAGCCCATTGAAATCAAACTCCAGTTGTGAGCAGAGTATTGACTGCAGTACAGCAGTTTAACCACTGTACAATGAGGTTTCTTGATAAACAGTAATACCTGTTTTGAAAATATACTGGCTGAGATTACACTTCATTGCTGTGCCACCTGTAAAGTATAGCAAACTTTTATGATCATTGGGTGGCAGTCTTGGTCCATGAAAATGAAACCATGCTCAGTTCTTTTATTATTGCACTTTAAAGAGGTCTAAAACCAGGACATAGACAAATGTATATATTTTAAAGATAAGGTGTAAAATCTGGATGCTGCATCTCAGGCACTGAATGTATGGACTTGGCTTTGGCTACATCAGCAAGGAGAAACATTTTAAAACTGCATACAGCCTAATCCTAGGTCAAATCAAGCCTGAACTATGTATGCAAGAATGTTGAAACTGAGGTTGTCCTATTTTGAGCACATCATGAGAAGGCAAGATTCTTTGTAAAAGACAATAATGCTGGAAAAGGTTAAAAGACAGCAGAAGAAGAAGACCAAGTAAGATGTGGATCAGCTCTCTAAAGGAAGTCACCTTCTTGAGTTTGCAAGAGCTGAGCAGGGATCTTGAGGATGCGACATTTTGAAAATTGCTCATCCATGGGTTTGCCATAAGACAGCACATGTCAACCACAGCCTATTCCAATGCGGACTTACTCACTGGTGGATAACATGTATGTTCTCCATATGTATATTCTTCTAATTTTAGGCCTTTCTTACTTTTCAAGTTGAATCCAAAGGGAACATAATGTAAGAAATGGAAAATAAAAAAAATTATGTGCATGAACCTGTAGGGAAGGAAATAAATTTCACATCAAGCCATCTAGGACTCTCCTCTGTACTCATAAGCCACATCCAGCTGTTTTGTCATGATAGCTGTACAAACATAATGACCTGTGTACCCACCTTTCCATGTCACTCCCCTTTGTCTTTAGGATATACTGTAGATAAACTTCTATAAATGACAGGGAGAATATCAACAAATCAAGCCTTATTTAGAACTTCAGCAATATCTTATATTTTTGTTCATTATTCATTTTACATTCTTTCATCTTATATTTTTATTCACTATTCAAAGCATAAAATTCTTGCTGGATAAACAGGCAACCTTAGGCACACACACCTCTTGCTTTTGTTAGTCCTAACTAGAATAAATAGGACTTACACAACTGTTGATTTAACAAGTCTGTACATATTCCAGAACAAGAGGAATTCATTATTTCTATATTAGGGATTGGGTGAGCCAAGTGTGGTTTATGGCAACCATGTACTGTATTATAATCCGATGCTGATACTGTACGTATTTTGAATTGAGAGGAGGTCAAAAGCTTTGTATGAGCCGGTGTTACAGTTACCATAAATGTGGTATAGTAACATTGTAGGTTAGAGCTGAGGCTGGTTTTGAATTTCCAGCCAAAACAAATACAAGAGCTGCAGTAAAGACACCAGACTATTTGTGTCTTCAGATTAAATGCAGCACTCGGTTGTACATGAAAACCTTGTAAACCCGACATGCAGCTTTGGAAAGCAAGGGTGGGCGACGCTATAACAGGCTACTGAAATCAGGCGCTAACTTTTAACGCCGCCAGGAGTCCTTAACACACACGCGCAAAGTGTGGAAACTTCTTTTGTTCCTGCTACTTTCTGTGTTGCAGGAAAGGTGGGCGGGGGTGTTGCTTAATCGCAGCGGCATGCCAAATTCCCAGAGAGCTACATTATCAGACAAACAGAATAAAACACAAACAACAACCTTGGGGCACCTTAAAATCTCACTGTTGCCTGCAGAGTTTTCAGAGGAAACTGAGGCTTAAAAAAAAGGTCCGAAATATACTCAGAAGCAGGTGATCCTCTAACTTTTATGTATTGCTCTATGAATGATCGTCCGAGCGGCTGTTGTGCTTTACGGCCCCATGCAGCAGATGAGAGCGAGTTGCGACGTAAGAAGATTGGGAATCCAGGCCATGCTTTCCGGCAAGGCGGCGAGGCACGTCAACAGCCATGGCGGAGGGGGAGGAAGCGTCTCCGGCGAACAGCTGGTGAGTTGGACCATCTGCGGCTTAATCGGTGGTTTGAGAGGGGTAGAGAATGTGTGCTTGTGGCAACGTGATGTCGCCTCTCACAGGCAGCCTTGGGCGGCTATCGGTCCTGCTGTGGCTGGCTCCATTTCCTCCCCAGGTGGTCTCTCTCTAGACGAGACCCCCCCCTCCCGACGGATTGCTATGACTGGAGCGGCTGCCATTTACTCCAGATAACATCATACTGTGTATAGGGAGTTTGCTCTTGTCACGGAACCTCTGACGCTTCGCCAGAGACGATTTCTGGATACGTGAGTGGGAATTGTTTCCTAAAGAGTTCTCCATTCATCCCACTGGCGCGTGTTTTTCTTGTATATTCCCAAGTAAATGGGGGGAGGCAAAGGTGCCAAGGCTGCCAGTGAATCTGAAAGCGAAGGAAGCCCTGCTGTATATTTCCAGGAGAGCTACTTTTTCATGAACTATAAGAGAGAGGAGGGGATTCTACCCACAGAGCTTCGTGGCTGAGTGCCAGTGTGAACCTCCGTCTCCCTAGTCCTGTTCCAGCCCTCTGTCCTCCAGCTATTTCCAACCAGTTGCCCTCCAGCTATTCACGCCCCCCCCCCATTCCCTAGATTCCTGATCATTGACCAAGTTAGCTGAGGCTGATGGATTGATGTCCAGACCATCTGGAGGGCATCAGGATGGGCTACACTAGGCTTCCAATAATGAACGGACAGGGTATGAACATTAAAATGAATGTTCCTGAATTTTTATCGTATGAAATGAAGATTATGGTAAAACACTGTATTCTGAGTTTGTATTCAAACTTGTCCTAATCTTATCTCTTAATGACGTCTTGTGGATGTACAAGTGAGAGCTGTAAGGAAATTACAAATATTGTGTGATACGCTGATGGAAGGAAGCATTTGGGGTTTACTATAATGTAAGCAAAGGCTGTTTATTGAGTACCAAAGGTCACTGTAATGTTGGAGGTGTCTGGCTGTTAAGATGGAAAATCTAGAAGGTCAAACTCCAGTATTTATAGTCTTTCTATATCTTCTTCATCATAAATTCTCTCTGGTTTAATTAGGCACAAAATATTTAAGACTTTGATCTATGCAGAGGAACTGAGATCAGCTGTAATTTTTTTTAGGGTTATAGACTCAAATTTTTGTAAACACCTTTATGTTTGGGGTAAATGTAACAGATAGATTCTTTTGAATAAAGTTTTAACATGTGCATCTCAAGACAATATGTGCTTGAGAAGTATTCAGACATAAGAATTTTCTGTGGAATATGTTGGGCAGGAGATGCAAAGAAGAACCACAACCCTTGTTTCAATATTGAAAGTTTGATTTTAGCATAATCTCTTTTATTTTCTTTTTTCCTGTTATTCTTTTTTCTTTTCCTTTTTGCACACTAGTCTTAGGTATGCCTGGCCACAAAGTAACTATATATAGGCAGATACTGGAAATAAGTGATCTAATTCTGATGCACTTATGCCAAAACATCAGTCTTTTTCCACATACGATTTCCATATGATTAAAGAGAAGGTCAGAGTACTTCAACCTTTCACATTTAAAATAAGCATGAAATTAACGTGATCTGTTTTTTAAGAGAAAGTATGTAGTATTTAGGAATCTACTCCATGTAAAATATTAAAATATCTGGATTCTAACAGCAGGCTCTCAGGGCTAGGTTCATGACTGAACAAATGAGATTAATCTGATTGTCTCTGCAAAGAAGTAAGTCTTTTAAAATCATGTTATGTTTCTGCATTTCTTTGTTAATGTAGCCAGTCATGCAGAGAATTCTGTCTGCAGGGCAGTCTGCCATCATTTTTTCTTGCACCGTTGTTATTCTTGGACTTTGTAACAATAACTTAAAAATAAGTGAAACATTGAAGTGGTATTTAACAAATTTTTTAAAAAATATAAAAAGAAATAGTGTGAGAAAAGAGAAAGTAGGAAAAAATAATTCTGATACTGCCACTGAACAAAATTGTTAATAGAAGGTTAATGAAGAATATTTCTCTTGTCTCTGTACAACATGTACTCCAACTCTGCAAAGTTGTGTTAAATTATCAGGGATAGAGAAGATTACAGGACCTGAGAATTATAAATTGATACAATCTGAAATTTAAAACCTCATTCAGGAAAACACCGCAAACTACACAATAACAGTAATAGTAACACTTAGCATTTGTATAGGATTGCACTCTAAATGCTACACAAGTCTCTTTTTTTCCTGTCAGTAGTATTACACCATATAGTTCATGCAGGAGTGAGATTTAAACTATGGACTTCCTGATCTATAACTCAGTTTTTAATATGTGGTGTTGAGTTTTGTTTAGAGCTGGAGCACCTAATAATGCTGATAAATGGCTATTCCCATAATTCCCTTCTCTTAGCCACGCTGGCAGGGATTGATGGGAATTGGAGCACAGTAATCTTGGAAGAAATCATACATTCCCTAAATTCTCTGCAGATGTTAGTAAGGGACTGAATACAATAGCTGAGATTAGACTAGACTCACTTCATCAGTGAGACTTGCATATCGGCTGACCAAAGTCTCATTGTTTAAGGAATCTAATCTGGTCTAGTAACCAGATACAGGCCAAAGAATTGTTATGTTAAATAAGATGGTTGATTTGTGTTGTAGTCTAGATTCTAGAACAGCAGAAGAGCACTAGTGTGGAGAAGCTTTAGTGTGTGAATACTAAGCAATTCTTTGTGTCACTTTGGCTTTATGATAGTGTTATTTTTAATTGCTTAGTTAGAATGTATTACCTTTAACAGAGAACCAGAACTTCTGGCTGCCAGCACCAAATGCAACACCAATTATGTGTAGTACGTGGGCTCTTGTTAGACTTGTCAGAATCTCAGCATTCTTAAAATGCAGTGATAACATTTATGGGTATTTTATTAGTAAGATTCAATGTCATATTTCTTTCATCTGGTATGCAATATAGCACACCCAATCAGAATGCATGGATCTTTATACAGTATATTATGCAACCAAAAGAGTATGATCCACAAAGGATGAAAATATCAGTCTCTTGAAACCATACTATTTCAGAGGTACAACCTTTAAAAAAAAATACACTTTTGGACAAAAGTACCCTAGCTTTGAGAGAGGTGAAAGAACTCCATGAGGAATAAGCGGGCTCAGTGGACATCGAAAGCAAGCCAATTGTTGTGGGGTGAATGATAAAAAAGAGGAAGAGAGAGGAATAAAGAATTCTTGAGAAGGGCTTGAACAGCTGGCTAGACCCTGCTTGCAATATATAAAAGATGCTTGGATCTTGTTCATTAACCTGTGGGTAAAACCACTGAAGAACTTCAAAAACAACCAGGCTTCTTAAACTGTTCATAGTCTGAGTTACTATAATGATGAGAAAGCTCCAAAAACAAAACAAACTTCCTGTAGCATTAGCCAGCAGCCTTGAAGAGAGCAGGCCAGAAAGCAAATGGCATGGAAGGGTATGGTAGTTCCCCATTTACTGGTTTGAATCAGCCTCACATGAGAAATGCAGAAGTTCAATATTGCTGGGGGAAAATAAGAACTGAATAAGCCATACATGAAAGAACAGAGATGAGAGAGCAAGCTTCACCAGTTCTCACATTGCAATTTCCAGTGATAGCTAGGAAACCTCCAGAACATTACATGTAAACTTAAAAAGTAATACAGTACAGTACAGGGCCGGACTGGGACCAAAAATCGGCCCTGGCATTTAGAGCACACAGGCCCACTGGCTGTGGTGACACCTGCTGCTTCCTCCGAATCCCTCC